ATTGATAGGCTTTTTTGTCATTGGCCTTCTTTTTGTTGGTTTTTGTTGATTTTTGTCTTCCTTTGTTTGGCTTTGTCGGGTTTTTGTGCTTAAATTAATGTCTCTGCATGTCTATCTAGATAAGATAGGCAGGATAAACAATTCGGAGATGAAAACAACGGGAACAACAGTTTGGGGGGAGGGGGAAGAAGGGGAGGTGAGAGAAAGGAAGGGGGGTGGTCAACCAACCCAGGGACAAGGGAACAAGTGAGTTAAAATCAATGGAGAGAAGGGTGTAGGATGCCTACTGGGGCTTAATCAAGGACAGTTTAACAGTGAGGAATTGCTGAACTCGAATGAAGGCTGAACATGATGGTGGGACAAGAGGAAAGTAAAAGGAAATAGAGGAAGGAACTAGGGGGCAAAGGACATTTATAGAGGTCTTAATACAGGCATGTACATATGTAAATATATTTATATATAATGATAGGGAAATAGAACTATGTACTCATATCTATATGTTAAGAATTAAGGTAGCAGATGGACATTGGGCCTCGACTCAAGTACTCCCTCAACACAAGAACACTTTGTTCTAATAATCCGTCATTCCATGATGCTCACTTTCCTGACACGATCTCGCTGAAGACAAAATGGGTGCATAAGCAAGTGTGGTGAAGAAAGCTGATGGTACCTGGCTATCAAAAGATCTGGGGTCTTAAAGGCTTGAAGATAAACAAGCGGCCATCTGGCAGAGAAGCAACAAAGTCCACATGGAAGAAGCACACCAGCCTGTGTGATCATGAGGTGTCGATGGGATCAGGTATCAGGCATCTAAGACCCAGAACAAAATCATACCAATGTGGGTGGGGGCGGGGGCGTGGAGTGGAGACCCAAAGCCCATCTGTAGACAATTGGAGATCCCTCACAGAAATGTCACAAGGAAGAGAGGAGCCAGAGGGTGCAGTGTAGCACCGATGACACATACAACTTTCCTGTAGTTCTTTAAAGCTTCCTCCCCCGCCCCACTATCATAACCTCAGCTCTACCTCACAAATCAGGTTAGAGCAGAGCATGCACACCGCTACTGATAAGAGCCGGAAACACAGGGAATCCAGAATAGGTAAACCTCTCAGGGCCAACAATGATAATAGAGATACCAGGAGGATAAGGGGAAGGTCTGGAGAGAAAGGGGGAATCGATCACAAGGATCAACATCTAACCCCTTCTTAGGGGGATGAACAACAGAAAAGTGGGTGAAGGGTGACAGAGGATGATGTAGGTATGAAAATAATAATTTATAACTTATCAAGGATTCATGAGGGAGGGAGGGGGGAAACTGAGGAGCTGATACCAAGGGCTCAAGTAGAAAGAAAATTCTTTGAAAATGATGATGGCAACATGTGTACAAATGTGCTTGACATAATGAAGGAATGTATGGATTGTGATAAGAGATGTAAGAGCCCCCAATAAAAGTATTTCATAAACTGGATCAAAGGGGGTGGGGGTGGGATTTAGTCTCAGAAACCTTCTGGGATAGTTTTACTCTGTCCTATAGAGTCGCTATGAGAATTGTTCAGGTTTCTTTAAAGAAGTCTGGCGGTAGGCAAGGCCTGCATTTAATTCAGAAGGAAATGATCCAGTCCTATGGCCAGCTACTGCCTCTCATGGGTCCCCACCAGCCTTGCTGGTAAGTGTCTTAGAAGCGGGGCAATCGAATTATTTATTTTCTTAATTTTCATTTAGTAGATGCTCGCATACATGCACCAAGAAATCTATTCGCAACCTTATCGCAAGGATGTGGTTTCTAAGAGGATAGAGGAATGCTTGATACACGCACAGAAATGATTCATTCTAATCCTGCACCCTGCTGTTCTGTTTCCCTGAGACTTCTGCTCTGGGTCAGGGGCTGTTGGAGCAACAGAAAGTTATCTATCACTCGTGAAAAACATCGGAGAGGAAACAGAATCATGCTTCTAATCAGTGTGATAGCGTCTGGTACTGACAAGTTTACTGTTAGCCATTTCAAACTAAAACAAAAAAACAATTTCATAGTAAATGACTTAGAGTCGATTTTCATAGAACCATAGTAGCAGAATGGTTAACTTTGTTGCCACCAGAGCGCTTTCCATAAAAAAACCCACAAAACCCTCCTCATGGGTTCTGAGACTGTAACTTTTATGGGAGTGGAAAGCTTTCGAACTGCCAACCACGCGGATTGCAGCCCGATGCATAACAGCTCTGCCACCAGGACTTCCTAGTCCTCCTTCAGTCTTATTTTATATCTATCCTAAACTGTAGGTTGTTATTTTGTTATATGAGATTTTCCATCAGAACAATAATTTAAATATATATGATATATAGCTTATATGATATATAAAAATGACACGACACAATATACATTAATGTAAGTATGATATAATATATACTACATACAACATAATTTAAAATTATAACAGATAGTAGTTCTATGATCGTTTAAAAATATAGTTTATATATAATATTGTATATGTGTGTATGTGTGTGTATATCTTTTTAAACCTGTCAAAGAGCTCTGGTAGTGGAATGGGTTATGCATTGAGCTACTAACTATAAACTGTGGTTCGAACCCACCAGCCACATCACAGGGAAAAGATAGGCTATCTACTCCTGCAATGATTGAAAGTCTTGGAACCCACAGGGGCAGTTCTGCGTTGCTTTATTGGGTTGCTATGGCAATGCATTTGGTTATGGAAGCTTTCTAAAATAATCACTGCATTCTTAAAATGTGTCTATTTACCTGCTTAATAATCAGAATGGTCTAATGGCATTTAAAATATTCTTAAGCATATATTCTTAGGAAATAATGTTTTGTTTTGTCGTGTCCCCCCACTCCCACCCCACGATAGCTAGTCAAAGTTTATAGATAATAATATAAAGCCCCAATCCCTGCTGGTTTTCGTGTTTATTGCCTTGCCTCCTGTACTTACCTCTTTTCTTTACAATGAACTTTTTGAAATGCCAAATCCCACACCATCTACACAATTACAGACAAAAGGCGTACTTTAGGCAGTGCCCTCCTGCAGACTACTTCATTACAATTCTCCGTTTCAGCAGAATAGGCCTATTGAGTTGTACTGACTTATGTTTTCTTCCTTGCAAACTTTTCATTTGGACTGTGGTTATTTTATAGCCCCTACACACAGAGCTTTCACGGAATTTTAGCCCGTCTAACAGTTTGCCACAATTGCTATCTTTACCCCTTTCCTATAGTTTTCTTCTCTCCATCCCCATCTATACGTACGTACCTGTGTGCACGCACCTGCACACTGTACACACACACACACACACACACACACACACACACACTTTTAATGCTTTTTCTGAGCCACTTGCAAGAAAGTTGTAGGTTTCTCCTAAGGATAAGAACATTCTCCTGTCCTTGCCACACTTAAGAAAATTAGCATTAGTATCTCCTTAATATATAATCAAACCCGTCGCTCTGGACTCAATTCTGACTCGTGGTGCCCCCTTGTAGGGTTTCCGAAACAGTAAATCTTTGCGGAAGTAGACAGCCTCCTCTTTTACCCAGGAAGCAGCTGGAGCATTTGAACACCTGATCTTATGGTGAAGAGCCCAACGCTTAGCCTTTCGCGCCACCCAGGCCCCTTTCCATTTTAATGGTCCGCGTGCACAGATGGTTACAAGTGCCTGCCTTCTAGCCAAAACTTTGATTCCCTCAGACGCACCTCCGTAGACAGGCCCAGTGATCTGTTTCTGAAAGCTCACAGCCTCCCCAGCCCTACCTTTGGCTTGGTGCAATGATGCTTCTTGCAATATATTTGTATTTTCTTGTTTTGTTTTAGTTTTATGGTGCTCAAATCTATCTAGCAAAGATTTTGCCATTTTTGGCAATTATAGTCACCATCACTCATCACCCCAAACAGAAACTCAGTATTCCTTTAGCAATCACGCACTGAATCTCCTGTCTTACAGCCCCTGGCAACGAGTGATGCACTTTTGCCTCTATGTTTACATAAGTGGCATGTAAACCATTGCGTCTGGCCTGTTTAATACCTTAGCACTATGTTTTCAAAGTTCCTCCGTACCATAGGATGTGCAAGAGGTCTTCAAAAAACTCCCTGGGCAATTCTATTATCTTTGAATTCTATTTTCCCTCTAACTTTTCCCAGCCCCTTGGTATTAACCTTCATTTCTCTTTGCATTTGGCCTTTAGTTCTCTTTTAATCTAGAACTAGGCCACTGCTTCTCTGGTTGTTCATGGTATTTAACTAGGTGTCAAGACTCCTGGCCTTGACTGGAGATCCCCTTGCAGAGGAGTCTCAGGGAGGAGATGAGCCAGTCAGGGTGCGATGTAACAATGATGAGAAATACAACTTTCCTCTAGTTCCTAAATGTTTCCTCCCCGCTCCCACTACCATGACTCGAATTCGATCTTGCAAGTCTGGCTAGACCAGAGGAGGTACACTGGTACAGATAGGAACTGAAATTACAGGGAATCCAGGACGGATGAGCCCTATAGGACCAGTGGTGTGAGTGGCAAAACAGGGAGGGTGAAGGGAGAATGGGTAGGAAAGAGGGAACCGATTACATGGAACTGTGTGTGACCTCCTTCCTGGGGGACAGAGAACCGAAAAGTGGATGAAGGGAGACGTCGGACAGGGCAAGATATGACAAAATACCCATTTATAAACTATCAAGGGCTCATGAGGGAGGGGGGAGCGGGGAGGGAGGGGAAAAATGAGGACCTAATGTCGGGGGTTTAAATGGAGAGAAAATGTTTTGAGAAACGATGTACAAATGCGCTTTACACAATTGATGTGTGTATGGATTGGGATAACAGTTGTATGAGCCCCTAATAAAATGTTTTAAAACTAAATAAATAAATAAAAAAGACTCCTGGCCTTGTAGAATGTCCCGCAGAGAAAACGCATTTTATCTTGGATGGTTTCGAGTTAGCACTGGACTGAATCTTGGGGACAAGTTGGGGCACCTGTGTGATTCATACGTGTGTGTGCTTCTAGAGTATGGTCTCCGGCTTGGGAGCCAGATCTTCATCAAAGAAATGACCAGAACGGGCCTGGCCACAAAAGACGGCAACCTGCACGAAGGAGACATCATTCTCAAGGTGGGTGGATGAGGGTGGAGGGCAGTCATGCTCTTCCTTTGCTTCAGGGTCACGGTTCACATCCAAGTGCCAACCCAGGGACGCTTCACGGGAATCGGGTTCAGTCGGGAGCCATGACTCAGAGTAAAGTCGTCAGACAGTATCTTTGCATGTGACACACACACACCTAAGTCAAGAAATATTGGTACTTACTGGGGCTCCAGTACAAGCACAGGCTTATTCCAACCAAATGCATGTAAACATGACTGTAGCCTCAGTGGCTGGCTGTGGACAAGTTCTTCCAGCCATGCACTTGACGTAGGTCTCCTTAGAGTCCTCCCCAAAGAAGATCCCATGAATACAGTGGCCTTGGAAGGCACCTGGTGGGCCAGTGAAATTCAAGGCAGGGAGGCCAACCCAGAAAGTTAGGGTGACTTTGCGGGGTGTTAGGGAGGGGTTGGGAGGTATTCCATAGGGATCATCTTGCTAGATTTTCTTGAAGCGACACAGATTAATCACTGAGCCCTATCAGGAAGAAGTTTTCAGAAAGTTGAAATCTACGTGGTTCAAGTTGTGTTCAGGATTTTTTCCCCTCCATCACGACACTCCTTCATTCTCTGAGGGCAGCAAGGTCCATGGGAACGTCATTGGGAAGCATATCCCACCTACCTGTAGCTGATCTTGCCCCTCCAGACTTCTTGCTCCCTGTATTAGTCTGGGTACTTTGGAGAAACAAATCCACAGCAACTCATGTATAAGAGAGAGTTTTATGCAAAGAAAATGTGCATCACGAAAACATCCCAACCCAATGCTGCCCAAGCCCACAAGTCCAACATTAACCCATTAACCCAACACCAGTCCACAAAGTCCTCCACCTCACAAAACAGAGGCAATGATGCCGACTGCAGGAGGAAAGCTGAGTCAGTGAACGTGTAAGCATCTCAGCACTGGCAAGGGTCTCCACACGGCTGTTCCAGCACCCAGGGCTTCATCGGGATAGATCCATGCGGCTTCTCCTTGGGGATGTCTTGTAGGAAATCCATCTTGCAAGCTGAAGCAGGGAACTGCTAAGGCAGCTGCACCCGGTGCAACCATCACAAAACAAGAGACCTGAGAACTAGAAAGGCGAGGCTTCACCACCCATTTATCCCTCCGCCTTTCAGCCAGCACCACATGTGATTATCGGCCAGGCTGGCACAATTAACTAACTCACTCCCCAAACTCAAAGACCATGACAAGGAATGCCATGTGACACAGATTGTGTTTTGATGGTAAAAGTAGAAGTCAAAGAGCCAGAATTTTTTAGGGAACACTCAGGGAGCTGGAAGCACTGCCCTCAGAGGTGTGTGTAGACCGAAATGGAAGGTATGTCCAGAAACAACAGCTTCACAGTTTTACTTAATAAGGAATAAAAAAATGATTTTGTAATCATTTTTATTTTGTATGTGTTTGTCTAAGACAAAACACTCACCAACTCAGGATTTTTTACATGTACAGTCCAGTGACTTTGATCTGTTCCCAGGAGATGATTTTTTTTTTTTAATCAGAGAAGCAAAACAGACTTTGGGGCTTACAGTGGTTCACACGGTCTGATTTTCTACAAACCTCAACTGCCGCTGTCTTCTCTCTGTTCAAGTTCAAGCTCGTGGAATGAGGAAAGTTGAGAGGGAGAGCTGGTGGCCTCATTAATGCTGAATATTTAATCGTTTTGGTAAATCTCCCAGGTCAGGAAATACATTCCGGTCGTAAACCAAACCAGCGCCTTAAGCTTAGAAGTTAAATAAATTAGCAGAGTAATTTAAGTACACATGCCTGCACTGGGGACCCAGTATGCTGGGTTGTATTTAATTTAAAGGATAATTAATTGTTAATGAGGCAGTCATTCCAAAGCTCATGGCTCTGAACATCTGAGTAGAGTTGCTACATTTTGAGCGGAGGAAGATAGGACTTTCTGCCTTGTTGACAAATGGTTATATTATGTATCATTTTCTTGTTGTGGTGAGCTTCTAGTTGATTCCAATTCAAAGCGGCCCCCATGTGACAAAATAGAATTGCCCCCCTAGGATTTTCTTGATGACTGTCTAGACAGAACCAGGCCATCCGATCTTTCTCCCTCGGAGCTCAACGGTGGGTTTGAACTGCCAACCTTTGGGCTAAAGCTGAGCGCTTAACTGGTTGCATGCTGTGCCTTGAATGTAACGTTCCCAGTTGCTTCTTTTGGTGAACACAGATCAATGGAACGGTCACCGAGAACATGTCTTTAACGGATGCTCGCAAGCTGATAGAAAAGTCCAGAGGGAAGCTCCAGCTGGTGGTGCTGAGAGACAGCAAGCAGACCCTCATCAACATCCCGTCCCTGAACGACAGCGACTCGGAGATGGACGGTAAGAAGAGGCTGCTGCTTTCAGCCTCCCCTCTCTGTTCAGCCCAGCCGCCCAGCCAGAAATGACATTGCCAGCCCCTCCTCCGCTTTGTGTCTTTATTTACCCACTTCCATTTATTTTGTTGTTGCTGCTGAGAACGTATACATCCAACAGACGCCTGTATCGCTGTTTTTGCTCGGACTGATGAGGAATGTTCTTGGAGTTAAGTGCAACTGTTTCTCCCTCACCCCCCCCACACACACACACACACTTTTTTTTTTTGACCTGTTCCTCCCACTAAGCTTCCTATGTAATCATTTGAATCACCAGTGTCACAGGTTTGCCAATCAGATAGGGGTTTTTTTTTGCAAGCACAAAGGACATCTCCAATTTTATTCAGACTTCCGAGTTGCGTTCCATCGCTATTTCTATAGGTCAAATGTGTATCAACTTCTTTCTCTAAAAAGAAAATCATTTTATTGGGGACTTGTACAGCTCTTATCACAATCCATCCATCCATTGTGTCGAGTACATCTGTACATATGTTGCCGTCATCATTTTCAAAACATTTTCTTTCTATTAGAGCCCTGGGTATCAAACAGCTCCTCATTTTTTTCCCAGCTAGTTTTTAAAAGGGTGTAAAACTAAACCAAGCGCACCGCCGCGGAGTCGATACTGACTCCTAGGGACCCTATAGGACAAGGTAGAACCGTCCCTATGAATCTCCGTGACTCTAACTATTAACGGGAGTAGAAAGCCCACCTTTACCCAGCGGAGTGGGTGGTGTTTTTGAACTGCTGACCTCGTGGCAGATTTAAAGTTTGTGTATGTGTGTGAGGGTGAGAGAGAGTGAGTGAGTGAAGCTAAACTATTGTTTGGTTTTAGGATGATGCCCAGGGTGTTTTTGGTGTTTGGTTCAAAGATGATCTCCAAGCAGTTGTTTCAGGGTTTGATCCAACTTTCATGAGTCGTTTTCTGAGAGTCTGGAGTCCATGAGGATTTGAAATTCTGTTCTGTAGTTCCCCCCTTTAAATCAGCTTTCTTCTAGACTGTGATTAAAATGTTCAGCGTGGCAGCCAGGCACCATCTAGTTCTGCTGTCTTAGAGCAAAGAAGGCAGGGCCAGGAGGCAGAGCTTGGAGGCCACCCACTCCAGCTGCGCCCTTTATTCCTGACTGTCTCTCTCCCTCTTGCTCTAGGAGAATAGAGACCCGTGTTGTGCCTTGGATGACCAGCACTAGGAGGGCAAGCAGAAGCACTCAACACGTGATCAGGCCATTTAACTAGGATGTCCCATGAAAGCATGGCCCTAAGCCTCCAAACCAGTGGATCAAATCCCCTGAGGTTTTGGGTTATAAATCAGCAGTCCTTCAACCCCCTCCCCCCCTTTTTCCCAATGTTTTAAATATGTCTATTGCATAACTTTTGTCAATCAACTCTTTACAGGTGTACAACTTCTGGACAGGAAATATAATCATGAGCTGAGCAACCCTATCATTAACACGATTTTCCCATCACTGTTAACCCCTTCTCCCCCACTCCCTCTGACCCACTAATAAACGTGATTCTTCACACCTTTGCTTTTTCTTGTCTTTTTTTTTTAAGAACATGTAAATTTTAAAAAGTCATTATTTTAAATTATTTCATTGGGGGCTCGTACAACTCTCATCACAATCCATACGTCCATCCATTGTGTCGAGCACATTTGTACATTTGTTGCCATCATTTTTCAATACATTTCTTTCTACTTGTCCTTTTACATAAATGCCCGCAGGCAGTATTTATCCCTTGGCGATTGAAATGTTTCACTCAGCATAATGCCTGCCAGCTCCATCCATGTGGTAACATGTATCAAGACTCCATGTCCTCTTCCGACTGGGAGGTCTTCCATTGTGTGTATGTAGCACATTTTGTGTATCCATTCACCTGTAGGTTGTTTCCACCTGTTGGCAAATGTAAATAGTACTGCAGTGAACACTGGTGTCCAACTGTCTTTCTGAATGCCTGCTTTCAAATCACGTATAACTCTAGGCGTGGAATTGAGGAGTCAAAGGATAGTTCTGGTTTCACTGATGCGTTTTTCAGTGCTCTGAGAAGTCAGGGCGCAGTTTTCCACGACATGTCTCTAGGCTGATCAGGTCCTTGGCTCGTTTTGCGATGGCTTTGTCTTTTTGGTGTGGAGGTTTCCGTCTGTTTCCATTCTTGGATTCTTGTCACCCAGATGGTTTCCAAAGATACTCTCCCAGTCAGCAACTTGTCTTTTCGGCTTTTTGGTAAAGTCTTGTCATGAATAATAGTTTACCTTTTTTAGGAGGCTCTCTATTTATTTTTCCTTTTTTTCCTTTTTTAATCATTTTATCAGGGGCTTAGACAACTCATCACAATCCATACATACATCAATTGTATAAAACACATTTGTACATTCATTACGTTCATCATGCTCAAAACATTTGCTCTCCACGTAAGCCCCTTTGCCTTTTACTTTGTGTGCCTTTGTTATGACTTTAGATCAGCTACTCTGAAAAGTGAGGCTGACAGCATGGGCCCTGCTTTTTCTTCTAAGAATCGTATTTTGTTTTTGTTTGAACATTTAGATGCTCTTCCCTTTCTGCTTTTTGGAGATAGTTGTAAGCTAGGCTGTTAATTTGAGAGCTCCCGTTTCATGTAGACATTTACTGGTGTCCGCGTGTCTCTGAGCCCTACCTTCCTGTCCATTTTGGCATGCTGCGCTTCCGTGTTCCTTTGAGCCTGAGATTTTTGAATTTCTTCTTTGACCCATTCGTAATTTAATAGCATATTGTATCTATTTGTATATTTGGCAGGTTTTTGTTCCCCTTGTTAATTGATTTCTAGCTTTACTCCACTGTGGTCAGAGAACTCACTCTATTGATTGATCTGTCCTTGATTTGCATCCTGACAAGCAGTCCATAATGATCCACGTGCCTGGGAGTAGAAGGCATATTGTGCTTTTTATCATGGCTCTGTAGTTAAAGGCACCCAGCTGCCAACCCAAAGGTCAGTGGTTTGAACCCACCAGCCACTCCGCGGGATTAAGACATGGCAGTGTGTTTCTGTAAAGGTTACAGTCTTGGAACCCATGTGGGCCTGTTGACTTTGTCCTATAAACTTTGTCCTGGTGCCTTTGTTGCTGTGAGTTGGAATCAGCTTCATGGCAGTGGACTTTGGGGTAGGCTCTCTATATGTAGATATCTGTAAAGCTTAGTTATATCTTAGTTTATTTATTTTTCCTCCACTACCATTTCTGACTCATACTGATCTTAGAGGACAGAGTAGAACTGCCCCTGTGCATTTCTGAAACGAAATCTTTATAGGAATAGACAATCTCATCTTTCTCTCTTGGAGCAGCTCATGGTTTTGAAACGCTGCCCGCTATGCATGAGGTTTGCATCTCAATGCCTAACCTACTACGCCACCAAGTCCTCTGTTTCCTTGTTACTGTTTTTTTTTTTCCCCCCCTTAGTCTTTTCTTTCCTTACCCTTCTGGTTCTGCAGCCATGTTTTTAGGTGGAAAAACCACACCCAGAGAACCCTTCTTGGGGCTGGGCGTTGCCTTCTGGTTTTCCCAAGGACTTCTTCCCTGCCCCGTGGGAGCGGCTGCTCTCTGAGCTGGCGTTCTTGGCCTACTTCCCTCTCTTTCAGGAGGAGTAGGGCTGCGACTCACTCCTCAGAAAGACCTTGGGGAGATCTGGCTTGTTGGTTTCAGAGCCTTAGTGGCCCCGACCTGGTTAGGGGGCAGGCTCCACCTAGCGGACCCACCTCCTGCCTCCACTGCATTTATGAGTTAATCGAGCAGTCAGCAGTTTGAGAGAGGGGTTTTCATGCTCTGAGTGGGCCCTGCCTTATTGCTATTAGGGAAATAAAACCAAACTCCATTAAAACACTAATTCCAAAAGATAAGTGCCTGGTTGATATTTTCTTGTTGAAGTCTTATGAAATTTGGCTTCCAGTGGGAAATCTTGGTGTACTTGTCAGCGTCCAGTGGTCTCTCTGACTGAGGGCACTAGAAGCACAATGTCTGTGTAGGTGCTTAAGGAACCCAGCAGATCATTCTATACCTGTTCATTGCTCGTCCTTGTACTTACTTATCCGGCTGGGTGGGAAAGAAAGGCTATTTCCTTTCTTCCTTTTTCCCAAGGAACAAGCCTCACGCAGACCACTGGCAGTCACAAGTACACCAGGATTTCCCATCCGAAGCCCCCATATTGATCGGAATGGCTGGACATTGTGTTAGTCATTGCGTATCGATCCATATCATTGCTTCTCTTTCCAAACAGTTGTAGTCAATGCTTGAAGGGGAATCTTAGGACAGACAGCACATTAACCTTGTAAAATAAAAATAAACGCAAATCTACTGCTACCAAGCCGATTCTGACTCCTGGTGCTATGTAGGGTTTCAGAGCCTGACCTTGTTTACGGGAACAGACAGCCTCTTCTTTCTCTCACGGAGGCGGGTGGGGTGGGTGGGCCAGTTTTGTACTTAGCGGCCGGTGCCCAACCCATAGCACCTTTGTAGAAGTAAATTCGTGGTCTTCCTTCCTTAACCATCTAACACTGCTCTTGTGCAGACATGATTAGCAAATGTCACTTTGCCCTTTTAAGAACAGCATTGTGTTCCCTTTTTAAAGGATTTCTTTGTAACTCCTTATGGTTAACTTAAATTTACCATCTCTCAAAAGTCTAGCCTGCCGATCCCTGAGTCTGTGTAGCCTCTGCTCTGGGTCAGCTAACAGGACAAAAGGAGCGTGAGAACTAATACAGAGCCTGGAACTTTGGAGAGGATGGCTTGCTACTCAAAAGTAGGGGCTGGTTGAGCAGCAGCTCCTGGTAGCTTGATAGACTTGCAGTCTCAGGCCCTGCAATGGAGCCCAGAGCGTTCTGGTAATTCTGCACCTTGGCGTTTGAAAAGCAGTGGTCTGTTTGGGAAGAGTACGTATGTACAGATAGGATCCAGTAATCAAGTTGTGGATCTAGTAGCAGTATTGATGAACACATGGGAGAAAGACGGGCTTTCTACTCCTGCTAAGAGGTAGTCTCAGAAACCCCAAAGAGCAGTTCTCCCTTGCCCCAGAGGGGTTGCTGTGAGTCGGCGCGGACTCAAGGCTGTGAGTCTGGTTTGGTTTTTGATGGAAACCTAAAACTTCTGCATTTGCTCTCCTCTTTATTCATTAATGCCTTTCCCTTAAAATATCAATTTTTCCCAAGGGACGAATCGGAAATGAATGTCACATTTCCAAGCTTCCTCCCCAGAGAAGAGCCTCATGTCTGTAGGAATCTCAAAGTGCTGTATTAAAAAGGCTTCTTATTTTTAAACCCAGACATCTCCGAAATAGAGTCAAACCGGTCGTTTTCCCCCGACGAGAGGAGGCGTCACTATTCGGACTACGATGAGCACTCCTCCAATGAGAAGCTGAAGGAGAGGCCAAGGTAAGACAGCGTGCATTGCCCACCCGCACCTCCTTGTCAGTGCAACACGCACGCACACGCCCACCAGCCTGTCACTGTTCTGAGACTCTTCACACCTTGTCTGCTTAAGTTCAAGAGAGGACCCGTCAGGCAGATGGTCCAGGATGGGAGCCACGCCCACTCCGTTTAAGTCCACCGGCGACATTGCAGCTGCTGTTGTCTCGGAGACCAGCAAGGAGCCCAGACACCAGGAGGAACCGCCAGGTAAAGTGCCGTTCTGCTCACTGCCACCAGCTGTCTTCAAAACCGTGTGCTTGGTAACTCCAGAGGGTAGAACAAAAGACAGAAGATAATTTTATAAAACTTTTATATGTGGAAGAGGGAGGTCAGGCTCCTCCTTTCTTGCTTTATCGTATGTATTAAAGTTTTATTGGCATTTAATCCACATGTCATACAATTCAATCACATCAAGAGGAGTTTGTACAGTCATTACCAGATTCCGTTTTAGAAGCTTCTTGTAGTACTCATTGTTACGAGCTCCTCATTTCTCCCCCTCTGACATGCCCGCAAGAAACCGTTAATCCAATTCCTGTCTCGATGGGCTTACTACCTAGCCTGGGTTTCATATACAGAAAAGCGTACACAACTAACAACATTAACAAGGTAAAAACATCAGAAAAACCTCAATTGTAAAGAAGGAAAATATTAACAACTAGAACAAATTTAAAATGAGTCAAAAGATAGATCAAATGATAAGGCGTTTAGATTTTCACCTAAATGTATCTGCGGTCATCCCTCTACATACAACAATCCACTCTGTGTTACAGCAAGTCTATTCCCGTACGGTCTGTGTTCAGAGGGCATTTACTGGAGGCTTAATCCACATGTGTTTCCCCCTTTACACCGAAACAGCTTTTAAATGGAGCAAAGGGGAGATCAAAGGATAAGACAGCACAGCTCTCTTTTCATGTTGAGAAAAGAAGATGGGATAACTCTTTGTCACATGTGATTTGGGAGGTCCCTTGGTCTCCCATCCTTGAGCTCAGCCCCCACTCCTCTAGCCCTGCTCCCTCCCTACAAACATAATGATTTCACAAAAATCATTACTGATCCATAAAAAACCTGTAGATGTAGTAGCAGCATATGGTTCTTAAGTTATAAAAATACTAACTTGTACATTTGAGGGGGCTTTAAAAAGTTGGTGGGAAAAATCCATCGTCTTGTAATTCCATTTTTCTATGGAATTAATATAATGATGCACCTTGATTTTGGGAGGATCATCTTGCTTTTTGTTTTTGAGGCCCTATTGGCACTTGCTAATCCCTCAAAAGTGTCCTGTTGGCTCGAAGGTTAAATGCTCATCTGCTAACCCAAAGGCTGGCTGGCCAACCCAACAGTTGTTCCGCGGGGCGAAGCCCCAGCGGTCTACAGCCTAGAAAACCAGGTGGGCCCTCCCTGTCCCAGAGGATTGCTTTCAGTCAAAAATTCGACTCCTTGCCACCTGTGAGCAACAAAAGCAACGAACAACCCTGCCTCGGAATGACACGTCACCTCAGAGTCTTATTTCTGTTACTTGACACGGTAGCCCCATAGGTAGCTTAAGGTTCAGATTTCAATTCTTTGTGGATTTTGTGATCTTTGTATTTAAAAACTAGCCAACCAACTCCTGGTGGCCCCGCGTGATAACCAGAGATAACTTAACCCACAGCTTTCCAACCAAAACCAGCCCCGAGAACTTTTCTTCGTCCTAGCCCCGAAGATGAAGCAATATATGGGTATGTATTTCAGTCTCCCTCCTCTCCCACTCTCCCTCTTCTTTCCTTCCTCCCTCCCTCCCTTCCTCCCTCCCTCCCAGTTCTTCGTTAGTGAAGATCCAGACAAATCGTGGGTTTTGCACACAGCGGGTGATTCATCTCTAGCTGAATCCTCTTGCGAGTCACGTATGACTAGGAAGAGACGTGGTTTGCAGGACAGTGGATGGTGGCAGTTTGTGGCCTTTGTTGCTATTCACTTGGTCTGCTTGTCTCCCTCTTCGGCTCCTTCTCCTGAATGCATTCCGAGTAGTTGGGTTCCCCACGGGAAGAGCTTCAGCAAGGGTTGGTAAACTAGGGCGTTTCTGTAGGTGTGGTGACAGGGGGGCATCCCAAGGTTATCATGGGCATGCCTGAGGATGGACTGACACAGTGCCCCGTGCTTGACCAACGCGGCCCCGTGCCTCAGTGGCGTTGAGAGCAGCTCTCTCCAGGATGACTCAGCTTCCCTGCACTGAGGCTGGGTCTCCGTCTGACAGGAGCCTGTGTTACTGACAGGATTTCCTTCGGCAAGACTCCTCCACGGGGAGACACAATTGGTCTCAGTTCTAGCCCTCGCTCTACCCTTTATTTGCTTGATAGTGCTGAGTGAGCTTTGGAAAGCAATCTATATCTACTGCCCCCCAGGAACCTAGTAAAACCTAAGAAAGCAGGGCCCCGGGTAAGGCAGCATCATGTCCGACAAGGAATGCTCGGCTGTTTCACACAAAAGAAAGCGATGGGGGCGTGGTGGCTGCACCCTGGCCAAGGGGAACACCTCAGAGACCCAGAACAGATGGTTCTGTCGGGTTCTGGCTCGGAGCAGGTTTCCTCGCCATCATTTCCCTGGAAGGGAGGTCGACTCGCAGGACCCGTGAGGGAAACGAGCCGGGGCTTGGTGGACTTCAAAGCATTCTGTAGCTAGAAGAAATACAATCTCTCCTCTGCTCACTCTGACTCCCCCTTTCAACAAATACCCCCCATCTTCCCTTTGTGCCACCCAACGAGGCAGCCCCGACACCAAGATGGTGAAGTTCAAGAAGGGAGACAGCGTGGGGCTCCGGCTGGCTGGCGGCAACGACGTTGGCATCTTTGTGGCCGGCATTCAGGAGGGGACCTCCGCAGAACAGGAGGGCCTTCAAGAAGGAGATCAGATTCTGAAGGTAAGGGATGCTTGGCCTCTTTCTTCGTTCTTTCTTGTAACCATTTCCATCAGAGTTCTTGTTTTAATCTATGAAAGCCACTTCGGTGGTACTCTCTGATGATCCCGTTATTCCTATACCTGTGACTGGAGCCCAGCCTCTTTCTAGCTCGGCAGCTTTCAACCTGTGCATCGTGACCCCTCTGGGGGTCGAATGACCCTTTCACAGGGGTCCCCTGAGACCATTGGAAAACACATATTTCTGATGGTCTTAGGATAAGGTGACCAGACGTCCCACTTTTGGTGGGGCAGTCCCGCGGCGTTTTTAAAAAGTCCCAATTTTTTTAAAGAATGCACGACAAGCTAGGGTAGACGGTTTTCAGCTGCCATGTGGCTATATCGCCAGGATAGGAGTTTTATCAGTGGTGTCCCGCTTTTGTCCTGCTTTACCAATGTTACAATCTGGTCACCTTATCTTAGGAACCGAGACACAACTTCTCTATCCGTCTCCAGGCAGGCCCGCCCACATGCAGATACGCCCATATACGAGTACCTGGTGTGAAGACTGTTACCCATGCTACACCATGCTTCAAGACAACATTTCATTGATTTGTCATTAGAAATAAATATTTCACAATATAGAATGACCTATTGTTTTGTGATTGATCACTATACTTTAATTATGCTCAGTTTTTAACCATGAAAATACATCCTGCCTATCAGATATTTACATGATGATTCACAACAGTAGCAGAATTACAGTTGTGAAGTAGCAACGAAACTAATGTTATGGTTGGGGGTCACCACAGCATGAGGAACTGCATGAAAGGGTTGTGGCATTAGGAAGGTTGAGAACCGCTGGACTAGAAGGTCCCTGACAGACTCTAGGCATGCTTGCTTGAGGGAGGAGAAGGCAGGAGGGGGCTAAAGCAGCTGAAGGTTCGCTGGTGCTGAGCTGTGAGGTCGCTGCTTCTTCCAAAAGGGTCTTATTTCTCAGACCCGGAGCCCCATGCTCCTCTCTTATGGTCTTTAAGACCCTTGTCAGGAGGCCCCGGAGGGTACAAACCATCAGCGTGCTTGGCTGCTTATCGAAAGGTCGGTTCCGGTTTCCACCCAGGGGTACCTCGGAAGAAAGGCTTGGTGATCCACTTGCGATGTATCAGCCACTGCAAACTGTGTGGCCCTCCGCTCTAGTCTGACATGCATGTGATCACCCTAAGCCAGGGTCACTCAACGGTAATCGACAAAGACTCTCACAGAGATTTTTCTTAGGTTATTTTTTTATTTTGAAAAATTGAAACTGTAAAGAGAATGATCTTTCAAAAGATCTTACTCATCTTGGGCTTTCTATCTTGCCCCTTTGTTTGGGGTTACTCTTTATTTGGGGGGGGGGCTCTAAATAAATACTCCTACAAATGTTTTAAGTATGCATGTATCTTTCTTGTAAAAGTTGTGATTTTGAATTAGGTTGAGGCTTACCGAGCAGATCATCATAACAGTTCATACATGTTTTGTTTCAGGCTGTCTGTTTCGGTCCCCCAATGTACGACCCCTATCCCACTTCCTCCCTGTGTGTCCGCCTTCGCTTCCTCCTTCTCCCCTGTCCTCTGGACTTTGGCATTTTGGGTAAATATGCCACCCTTTTGGATCTCTTATGGTTGATTATTTTTTACCACAGGGGTGGGATCCATTCCAGACCTGAAGGGTGATGAAGGGCCATAGTTACAGGCATCCCACCTGCCTCTTTCCTCTCAGCAAGCCTGGTCTCTTTTGTGGTTTTGAGTTCTGGTCCACATTCCTCTCCCAGTCAATCCAGCACCTTCTAATGCGATCCTTTCCAGAGCAGTTGGTAGCGGTAGCAGGGAATCATCTAGCTCCTCTGCTCTCAGGTTGTGGAGACGGGTGTCGGTGTGGCCGATTAGTCCAATGAAGCAATTATCTCCATGTCTTTCAGTTCACAGCATCTTCTTGCCTCTGAATGGGGAGAGGCCAGTGGTCATACCTGATGGTGCTGCTCTTTAGCCAGTGTGCTGTAGTAGAACTAAAGCGAGGATTGGGATCAGCCCCTTCGATTTGAGTCCGGTCCCAGGGTCTCACGTTCGAATGTGACCTTGGCTAAATCTTGGGGACTCAAGGCTTTGGTTGACAACAGGGATAAGAAGACCGGTACTTGCCTCCCAGGGACCCTCGGAAGATGACAATGCATAACATTGACCAGGCCCCAAGCAGTGTTCAGGCAAATGTCCACTCTTTTCTCCGCTGGAGAGCAACAGAGAGCTCCCGCGGATTCTGCGATTGACCTCTAACGTTGGCCAGGCCGAGCTACTTCTTGCAAACCAAATACAGAACCTTTAAAAGTTGTTGTATATAGACAGTCTGCTAGTTTGAAAGATTTTTAAAAAATAAGTTAGTGTATGCATTTTACGATGGACATAGACTGTTCTTCTCATTGACTTCTGAAGTTCAAGTATCTCATGACAACAAAAAGGCAAGGCTGGACAACTGTCCTTATTCGGAAGACTGCTTTAGGAGCTTGAAGTTCTCCTATGGGATTTTCTTATGTTGTTAGTGAAGGGCAGTAGGGAATTCTTATAACGACCACGGGGATCCTGTGAAGAGCTTCTTTGCTGGAGGAGAGGGGAGAATGGGACTGGGTTCTCTGGGAAGCAAGTTGCAACGTGCAAAGTCAGATGGTCCCCTGCCCTCTTGGCTCCTGGGCCTGTGGCACTAGTTCATATTTCATTCCTGAAGCCGGTGAAGGGCAAACCCTGATCGTGAGCCTCTCGAAAGCTTTCCAGTGAAACCCTACACTCTGCTTGGCTCGGCACCGCGGCCCGGATGACTAAATGGACCGACGAGAACCGCGTGGACCCCATGATCCCAGGAAATACCACTTGCAAAGATGGAGATAAAAATCCCATCCGAGCACCAACTCAAACCAGGGTACTCGTGGGCGAACGCGAACGAACAAAGACGTGCGTTTTCAAGCGGGGGTGGGGTTCGAGTCCCTCGCGGTGCCAAAGGCTGGTTCACGTTTGTTCAGCTGATAACCAAGAGGTAGGTGGGCGCAGCCGCCAACCCCAGGGGTGCCGGAGAGACAGGCCTGGCGATCTGCTTTGAAAGGTCACGGCCCTGTCAACCCGCCGAGCAGCTCTACTCTGCACACGTGGGCTCGCCAGGAGTTCCCGTGGACTGACAGCCACTAACCACAACACGGGCTGTAAAATCCCTGGGAGGTGTGTTCTGGAGCTTGGGCTGCTCACCCCAAGGTTGGAGGTTCAAGTCCACCAAAGAGGTGTCATGAAAGAAAGGCCTTCAAAATTCCCTCACAATGGATGAAAGAGACCTGAATGTAAAACCTAGTACTATAAAGATCATCAGTGAAAAATTAACACATAAAACACTCCAACAGCAGAAGACTAACGAGATGACTCAGATCTACTAAAAATTAAATAAACTCTTAGTGTCTCCAAAGATTTCACCCAAAGGGTAAAAAGAGAACCCACAGAGTGGGGAAAATTAGGGAGGGCAATGAGCTATCAGTCATAGAAAACATTTACAGAAAGCATTAGCACCTAAAAGGAAAAAGACAAATAATTCAAGTTTAAACACAGACAGAAAGGATGAGTCGACACAGCCTGAAGAAGCCATTCAGATGGCCAACACACGTATAAGTACCTCCGACTCAGAGGGAGCCTGTGCACCGCAGTGCTCAGTCCCGCACCACCCTCCCAATTGTCCCTATGCCTCAGGCCAGTGGTTCTCCCCCTTCCCAATGCTGCGAACCTTTCAGACAGGTCCTCCTGTGGTGGCGACCCCCAGCCATACAATTATCTTTGTTGCTACTTCATAACTGTCATTTGCCCCTGTCATGAATCGTCATGTAAATATCTGATATGCAGGATGTATTTTCATTGTTACAGATTGAACATCATTAAACATAATTAAAGCATAGTGATTAATCACCAAAAAAAAAAAGAAAGGAAGGCCTGGGGAGCCTGCTGGGGGAGGGGGGAGCAAGCATCGAAGCCCTGTGGTGCCTGCACAGTGCTGCTCCGACCTACAGGAGGGCACCGCGAGTGGGGGCCAACTTGATGCCCGGCTGTGTTCATTTTGTTTAGTTCTGTTTTAATGGAACTGTAGAGAGGTTAGGGCAGTGGTTCTCACCTGTGGGCCGTGACCCCTCAGGGGGGTCGAACGACCCATTCACAGGGGTCGCCCGATTCATATCAGCAAAATGATGGTTATGAAGTAGCAATGAAAATAATGGTATGGTTCGGGGGTCATCACCACATGAGGAACTGTATGAAAGGGTCGCAGCATGAGGAAGGTGGAGAACCACAGGGTTAGGCCATTCGCTTGCGAAGGTTCAAAGATAAAATATTTTGTTCTATCTGGGAAAAAGACCCTCTGAAGTCCCATGAAAGGAAGTAGTGACTTCCCCTAGGGACTTGGCCATCGGCCTCCTCTGTGCGGCATTGTTAATGTCAGGGAGAGCCCTATCAATGAGTAAAAAGTAACGACACGTGACATCTGTACCCAAGAAGCAGGTTTGTTTCCTACTATCGCCCTGGCGGGAATCTATGGGTGATGATGTGACTGGTTAACGCACTTGGATGCTAACCAAAAAGTTGGCTTTTTGACTCTTCCCAGAGGTGCCTTGGAATAAAGGCCTGGCAATCTCATGCTGAAAAATCGGCCATTTGCACCCCAGCTCTACTCTTGCATACACAGGGTCACCGGGAGTTAGCAAAGGAGACAGGATGTGAACTGGCTCCCTTTGGCCATCATCCCACACGGCGGTCAAGTAGTAGGTGCTCCTCCCCCTTCGGTGTGATGACGTTTGCCATCGGCACACAAAAGGAGCCCTCTCTGCTACAGAGGGGTGAAAGGAGGTTGGGTCTGCCTCTCGAGATGGAGAAGCGGCCGCTCACATCATTAAACTGTAGCTGATCCAGGCCTACCTTGCCGGCTGACAGCAGCCACGGCTACTCCCCGCAGACCGCTCGGTAGCTAGTGAAAGAGGATAGGTATTGGCACCTTCCCACCTTCACGCCGAAAAGCGCTGTGCCAGCCTTTTCCACTGCCGTTCGTCTCGGAGCTGCTGGCCGTGGGCAGAGTGAAGAGGGAAGGTCACATACAGATCTTTTTCTTCTCTGTGCTGGGGCTTTTGAAGCTGGCCCTTCCTCTTGTAGCGGTGAGAGCTGGCACCTGGACAGAAACTGGCATGCGATGGGCCACAGCGTGATGTGCACTTGTTGTTCTCAGGGCTTGTGGCTCCTGCCGTGACGATCTTGGCTATTATTTATCCAGCACAGCTGTCATTTCTCTTCCAAAAGCTTTTATGGGGTGAGGCTGAGGGGGGGAAATGCAAATGCGCGCACACACACACACACACACACACACACACACACACACACACCCCTCCTCCTAAGTTTAATACCATGTGGCTTTAAAAAAACATAGCACCCAGGGGGACTTGAATGAATGCATTTTTCTAGCTGTGGTGAAATACAAGTAGCTTAAACCATGCCAGCTGAATCACTTTGAAGTGTACGGTCTGGTGGCATTCATTGGATTTGCAGTGCTGGGCGACTGTCGCCAGCATCTCTTCCATCGCACCTCCAGCACCCCAGCTGGAAGCCCA